TATATATATATATATATATATATATATATATATATATATATATATATAAACTATTAAAGCTGCATGCTGCACTTGTTTATAATTCTATTATTTGGATAGGCCCAAATCTCAAAGAGTTCGACGCCATGAATATATTAGATGTTTTCTTCTTTCTTTTTTAATCAATTTTTTCTTTGTTAGAAGTAGAGCAATATTCACCAAAGAAATTCCATTTGCCGAAGAAAGTTACGATATACTTATTTGATCTTCTTCACTTCATGATATGTAAAGAGTATTTAATACAAGGACATGATGATTATTTTTAGCCAAAGTTACAATATATCCTTCTGAAGTTATTTTCAAGCCACAACATCGAGAGACCTGAGAAAATTCCGTCAACTATATAATAATATTCTTATAAATATATAACTATATATTTTAATATTCATGTAAAATATATAACTTAATATCGACAAATTGATATTATAAATCCATTTGAAGAAACATTTATTAAAATTTTTACCTTGACATATGGACATTCAAATTCAGAAATTAAAGAACCATCTCTTGAAAAAACAGCTACATGAAAACGATTTCCATGCGAATCTCCTATTAATATATCTCCTGCATCGCTAATATCGATCCCATTTGGGAAATTTGTTACATTGTCACAGCCAATGCGACGCAAAAATTTACCTTCCTCATTAAACACTACAACACAATGCCCCTTGAAGTCACAAACAAAATATTCTTTACCTATGAATATAAAAGAAAATTTTTCATAAGTTTATAATATATGTAATATATATATATATATATATATATATATTATAATGTAAATTTCTAAAACTTAAAAATTATTTACCACTAATTGCAATATCACTTGGTTCTCTCATATATTCACTACAATCAAACCATCTTAATAAATCTCCTGTATCACTGATTACAAACACTGTTGGTGATACACTATCAACAGCCAAAATATGACCCTCGCTTGTCACAGCTAAACCAGCTACAATATCGATGTAACGAATTGCTATTTTTTTAATAAAATGACCACTTTTTGTAAATATCTGCATTCTCGATCGTTCGTTTCCTCGATCACAAACAACGAATTTCCCACTGTTTCTCATCACAGCGACTTTTCTAGGATACCATAACTGTCCTTCTTCTTTACCAGGAACACCAAATTGGAATTTGAAAATACCAGTTTTTTCAAATATCTGAAAACAAATTTTATATTAAAATAAATAAAGACTTTAAATTAATTAATTTTTAAATTAAATATCAAATTAAATATTTTGAAATATCAAAACAATTTTATACTTGAATTCTGTGATTATTAGTATCGGCAACAATAATGTCTTCGTCAGCACTTAAACAGAATCCATGAGGTGAACTAAATTGACCTTTACTGGGACCCAATTGCCCAAATTTACATCTAATGTGCATAGGAGTTAATTTCGTGTTATTCGAACGTGGATGGGCATAATTTCCAGATCCGGAACCTGTTACATTGCCAACTGTGTTTCCTACTACTACGGGCATGTTATGCATAGAATCTCCTCTTAAATCATCTGTAATTGTGTTGTTTCAATCGATTTAAAATATATTGATATTTATTTAAAATAATTAAAAAAAATTAATCAAATTAAAAAAATCTTACCAGCACCCTGTGAAAGTATTGGAGAAGTAGACGAGGATAATGATTGAAATCCTCCATTTAAAAGACTATTAGCAGCTAAACTTAGATTTGGTGTGTCTACAATAGCTGGTGAAGGACCTCTACCAAGTACTAATCCACTACCACCATTAATAGTAGGATTGCCAAGATCTGAAAATACACAAAATTTACAAAATTATTATATTAATTTATTATATAAGAGAAATAAATAGTAATATCTTTCATTTTACCTTGATTACCAAGTGTATTTCCTAATTTTGCAAGAGCTTGCAAATTATTAATTGCGTGACTGGTAGAACTCAAATCACCAGCAAATAAATCTGCTAATGTGAAAGGTGGTGTTGGACTAGGATTTGAACTAGGACCAACTACATTCGTGTCTCCAACCATTTCAACTTTTTCTGCCAAACTAGCTAATTGCTGTAGATTATACTCTTGAATACTGGTAAGCCCATGGATAGGACCTGGAGGAAGGGATACAGAAGGTGAAGGTTGAATGTTTTGAGGACTGGATGTTGGAGGTATAACAAACGAAGGTTCACCTTCAAAGGAGGATTGCATTGATGTGGGAAGAGAAATGGGAGACCTTGTACTAATAGAACGTGGACAGCCCATTGAAGTATGAACAATTTGTTGGTTTGTAGAAACACCAGATATGGTTGTAATTGGTTCTGAAGTAGATTTTGACACTGGTGTACTTTCGGTATGAAATTTACCAAACACTTCCTATAATTTTGTTTATATCTTTTATTTATTAAAGTCTCTTCTATATATACTAGAAATATAATATATACCAACCTTCACTGTTTTTTCAAACTGGTTGTAATCAGTTTGGAATTGAATCGAAAAAGAAACATTTGGTTTTGGTGTATTTTTTATTAAATTCAGTAACTGTGTTCCTACAATACGACGAAGCGCAAGTATTTCAACAGCGTCACCATGCTCAAGAAGTCGAGAGGTAAAACGACAAGCATCTTCTATTTTTTCTACCGTTTTTTCCACACTGCAAAAGTGATAAATAATTTGATAAAAATTTTTTAATAGATATAAATAACATTCATTGTAAAGACATTCTTCCAACCTATGAAATGTATCCATTATTTCTAATTCCCTATCTGAATGCAATTTTTCAAGTTCAACTAAAGCATTGTCTCGACATTTTTCTAAGACAGCTTTATAACTCTGAAATGTCTCTACAATTAAATCTTTAGCTTGATCATGTTGTGCTTGTAGTTCACTAAGTGCATTTTCTAATTGGGCAGACATTTGGTCACAATCTGCAATTCTAGCTTTACTCTCATTCATAAGCTTTATTAATTCTTCTTTTTGACGTGGTTCTGCATCCACTAATCGTTCATATTGATGATCTGGAGCTTTATGTTCAATAAGCAAACACTCATTACATATAGGTTCCTAAATTGAAGAAATAATATTTATTTATTTTATCTAATCATTTATAAATTTATAATATCCAATCATTACTAACATTATAATAATAAGATGAAATCCAAATTTATTTATAATCCATACTTTGTATGGGCTCATGAAAGTTTTTAATAAATTATTATAAAATTATTAAAATATAAAATAAAGAAATTAAAAAACATTTTAATTACCTGACAAGTATAACAGTAAAATTTCATATTCTCAGCAGGATGATACTCGCAAAAAATAGGTTTATGTATTGGTATAGCTTCGTTGGATTGCTTTAAATCTTCAAATGCCACTACCTTGTGACTTTCAAAACAACGCATAAATTGATGTGCAGTGTTGCAATTCGGACACAAGAAGTTGGCACAATCAGAGCAACGTGCAACCGCACTCTCTTTGGCTTTACATGAGGTACAAAGTACAGCCATATTTTCAATTGCAGACATGTCGAGTATATTCGTTAGAACATAATCACATGTCAATGATGCGGCACCCTTAGAACTAATGGAAGTTTCTTGTTGACAGAGAGGGCAGATCAGAACTGAGCTAACCTTTGAATCACCTGCCTCATCCATCAGAAGTTTGTCTAAACAAGCTTCACAAAACACATGAAGACAAGAAAGCACTCGTGGAGAACAAAGTTTGCTCATGCAAATAGCGCATTCTTGATCACCAGTTTCTCCAGTACCACAATTTATTCTTCCAAAGCATCACCAGGATTGGAAGTTTCATTACATCCATTAACAGTATTTATATTCCGTTCACTAAACACATTCCCATTCTCCACATCTTCATTTTGTGAGATACCAGTTCCAGCTGGGACTGATGCTGTTCCAGAGGGAACAGCCACCATGGATGATGCCATCTTGTAATTCTTTTCTTGTTTACGTGCAAATATGTGTGCTATTGCGAATAACTTTTACTTTTTACAGACTTACTGCGAGATAATTGCAAGATCTAACATTAAACGTTATTTTAACGTTTTATTCTAACAAACGAGATGATGAACATCTACAAAAAAAAAAAAGAAAAAGCCACAAACCCCTTTTCAGATCGTGAAACACGAGGACCAAGACATCGTAGCATCGATCGTTCAATCACGAAACAAAACACTGTGTCATACTTGGTCTCCACCAACTGGGAGTTTTATTATTGTATACATAAAATAATGCTTTATATGGCGCCCATTGACCAAAAAAAGAAAAAAATAGAATCAATATACAATGTTCACTATAATGGACGAATTTCCGTCAAGCATTTCAGTTTTAATATTTTCTTTTTTTTTAATTTCTTTCTTTTTTTTGTTTCGTGTCTCGAGATAAAAAATTTCTTGAAATCTATTTCGTAGTCACACGTAATTAATTTTTTTCTTTTCGTTTTTTGTTTAGTTTGGCTAATTTTTTTCTATTTACATTTGAAACACTAGCCTCGGAATACTTGTCCACTGGATTCGTATTAAATTTTCGTTTTGAATACGATCGACGTTTTATTTTGTACACTAAGTGTATTAATAAACATTTTTATCGATCACACAAATCTCCGAGTTGTTTACGATTATATTTATATTTCAATTATTATACGACGTTTCAACCGCAAATATTTCGGATTTTTTCATATGTAGAGCGAAGGAATAAATCATTCGAATCGGGAAGAGTTGACCCCAATGCAGGAGCCCTACAAACAATTAATATAATGATAGGTGTACTTACAAATAATATAGGCTTAGAAACTTTTGTTGATGCAGCAAACCGAGAGACATCTTACAATTATGTCATGAATTAAAAATGTTGAAAATTTTGAATAATAACATCGATCTTTTTCCCAAGTTTATAATAAAAAAAAATAAAATTATATTTTATATTGAATCTTCTTTTATCATTTAATTAAAGAAATATATAAATAATATTTTTAAAATTTTATACACTTCATGCTACGTTTTCATGAGTAATGTATATAAAGATTACTATATTATCTTATTATAATTTTAAATCATTAATCATAATTTAAAATATTATTTATTCTTATACAACAAAATATAATCATCATTTTTCAAACAATCAAATAATTATTTCATATAAATTATATAACATTGAATTCGATATAATATTTCATATTATAGGTGGGATTATTAACAGTGGTTTTCATTCAATATTATTTAATATCTATTAATTTTTTATATATATATAAAAAATTATTTAAAAAATCATAGTATTCAAAAATTGGATTAATAAATAATAAATTTTTTACCTTTAAATTTTATAATTTTCTTAAAACAATTTGTAGAAATATAAATTATTGTTTATTAATATTAAAATTTTTTTTATTCTAGAAAATTTCATATTTTATAATGGGAATCACTGTAACGGGATTTTAGAGTACGATGTTCAAAGGAAACGGTATATTACATGAATAATCACACGTCAGAGGATATACGAATGAAAAAATTTTCTTAAAGGTCGATTAATTTTTCTTTAAGTGAAAAAAAATTCATAAGAAAATTAATTAAATTTAATTTTAAAAAAGAGTTCAATTGACTCACCTTTTTATTTCATTATTTCATCGGCTATTAGCTACAAGATTTTATTTGATAATTTAATTAATTATATTAGGTGGAACTATTTTCTATTGTCCGTCTCGTTTTTGGCATTGTTGCTGCTTTTTGGAACGCATAGCCGCAAACATTCTTGTCATATAATTTAATTATTATTTATTATTTAATTAAGTCATCTACGAGGTATTGTAATTTTTCTTTTCGTATCGTTCACTAAGAAATTGATGCTCGTTGTCTAAATTCGGTAAGAAAGTTAATTTTATTCAGCTTTATTTTACAATCAATAATTTTCATTCAATATCAATTTCGGCATTTTTTATTTTTAGGAATATGAGATGGCCAGTTTTATAGCGAATTTAGTTATTTATTTATGTTTGTTGTGTAATAGTATTAATGCTAATGAAAGTGATGATAATAATGATCAAAATGTAGCATCAAAAGTAGTATATAAGAGACCTGAAATCACTGGTTTTGTATATTTAATAGAAACATTTGATAATGAAGAAAAGTTTAAAGAACATTGGATTTTATCTGAAGCTAAGAAGGATTCTACAGATGAGGATATAGCAAAATATGATGGTTAATTTTTTATTTATGGTTTTAATTGTATATATATTTATATTTTATCAAGATTATAATATATGTTATTTGGATAGGAATTTGGTCTATAGAAGAACCTAAAAAGCATGCCCAAGAGGGAGATCTAGGACTAGTTCTTAAAAGTAAAGCCAGACATGCTGCTATATCTACTAAATTATTTACATCATTTTATTTCAATGATAAACCATTAATTGTACAATATGAAGTGAATTTTCAAGATGGTCAAGAATGTGGAGGAGCTTATTTAAAACTACTTACTTTACATCCAGAACATCAAGATTTAAAAAAATTCCATGATAAAACTCCTTATACTATAATGTTTGGCCCTGATAAATGTGGAAATGATCACAAGGTAATAAATAAAAGATATTTATTTTTATAAAAGCATTCTAAATTGTTTTTCTTTAATTTAGCTACATTTTATCTTTCGACACAAAAATCCTTTGAATGGTTCTATAGAGGAGAAGCATTGCAAAAAACCAAGGGAACGTTTGGAAGATTTTTTCAAAGATAAGCAACCTCATCTATATACTTTGATCATTCGGCCAGATAATAGTTTTGAAATCAAGATTGATAATAAAATAATAAATTCTGGATCCTTGCTGGATGATTTTACTCCACCAGTTAATCCACCTTTGGAAATAGAAGATCCAACTGATGTTCAACCAGAAGACTGGGATGACAAAGAAAAAATTCCTGATCTATCAGCTATTAAACCAGATGATTGGGATGAAGATGCTCCAGCACAAATTGTTGATGAAGATGATATTATGCCTGAAGGATGGCTTGAAGATGAACCACCAATGATACCTAATCCTGATTCTATAAAACCTGATGATTGGGATGTTGAAATGGATGGAGAATGGGAACCTCCAGAAATTCCAAATCCAAAGTGTGCTGATGCACCTGGATGTGGATTATATAAACAAAAAATGAAAAAAAATCCTCGCTATAAAGGCAAATGGTCACCACCTTTGATTAATAATCCAAATTATAAAGGCAAATGGAAGCCAAAATTAATACATAATCCTAATTATTTTAATGATGAACATCCATTCCAAATGATGCCTATCGTATGTTTTCATATACTATTTCCATATAATATTTCCAATAATTTTAAATATAGAAACTTCTATGTATTAAATATAAATATATTAAATTTATAGTTTGCTGTAGGTTTTGAACTTTGGTCAATGTCTACAGACATCCTCTTTGACAATATTGTTATTACTCATGATGAAGAAGTAGCAAAATATTGGGCTGATAACACATTTGAAGTTCGTCGCGTCCGAATTGCAGAGGAAAGTGTAAGTGATTTTTTTTTATTAATCAAATTAGTAATTAATTTAATTTTTATTCAACTTAAGTTTATCAAGAACTGATAATGAAATTAAAAAGATCATTATTTATATGAAATGCGATACATGTACGCTATACTATACAGGTAACTTTATGGGGTCGAATATTGAAAGCAACAAATTATAAACCAGGCTGGTGGGCATTGTATTTTATATATTGTGCAATACCAGTTATATTATATATTTGGTATCTACTAAAGCAAATCCATGAGGTATATTTTGTGATTTCAGATTTACACATCATTCACTTTTTCTAAGATTGGAATGAAAGTGTAACATGATAGCTTTTATAATGCTCTATCCTTCTCATAACATATCCATATGAATCTTTTTCATAGTATTAAAATTATATATATTATAAATGTTTAGTTATATATTATATAAAGTAGCATATAGTATGAAAAATTAAGAAAAAAAATTTTTAAATTGATTAATTTTTAAAAAATCAAATTGTAAATATGGTACTTGGATAAAATTTGCTTATGAATCTTACATATGACTTGTAATTTTATAATTATTTTATATAGTGGAGTATATGGCGTCAGATTGGTACATTTACTGCAGAACATCCTTGGATATGGGGTATATATATAATAGCTCCTGGCTTGCCCATATTGCTAGTAATATATTGTTGCTGCTTTGCTTCTCAGGTATAAAAAAGTCATTAGTTTTTAACTATATATATCCATCCAACTATATATAGTAATTATATAAAACATTCATATTATGCTAATTAGAATAGTTTACTAAAATTTATTTTTTATTTTTTGAAAATATTTAAAAATAATTTTTTTTTAATATTTCATATTTTTATAAAATATAAAAATCATTAATTTTTTTAGGATAAATACGATTTAAAAGATGATGATAAACAACCTTTAGCGACAAATGAACAAGTAGTATTGAAACAAGAAGAAACAGAAAATCTGCCACCTAATACTGAAGTAGAAGAAGAAACTGAAAAACTGAATGAAAATGAAGAAATTATAGAAAGTGAAGAAAATGTTAGTTAAATTTTTTTTTCATTATATAATAGATAAAAAAATAAGATAATTTAAGAAATTTATTTTAATTTTGAATTGCTTTCAGAATAAACCAGAAATAGGTGGTGATGGACCACGGCGAAGAAAACCAAATAAAGAATAGAATGAATTAAAATTAAATGAAATGAATTCGTACTACTAAGGTATTTATGTACACTTACATTCCACTTGAACACTTGCCATTGTGAACATTAGAATTTTTTCAGTATCTAATTACATATAATATAATTCACTAGAATCCAGATTTTTATCTAAAAATTATTTAGGTATTTTTTTGATTCTCATGTGTGTAATTTTTTATTAAGTCATATTT